AACACAAGGAACACCCTCCCGAAGTTTGGCACATTCCTCCTGGGACACTCTGTATATATATATATATATATATATATATATATATACATATACACACATAGTACATCTTTTTCAAACTTCCGATACTGGTAGAATCATAGTTGATTATTTGTCCCTTGAATTTTTCTGTAATTAATTTTTATCCAAATATATATATTACAGAGCTATGAGAATTAGCTATATAATTCAGCCACAACTTTGTAGCTCAGTCAGTGGTATCAAATTTATATCTGACAAAAAAGTGGGTTTAATGCTGAAAGGCCAGTTGGAGATATCTCTCTATGCAAGATATACAGGAGCAGCTAGTTTACTTTACAATTACTTCTGAATTAAACTTTCTTTCCAATTAAAATTATTATAATTTACCTTTGTCATTGATGGGTATTTCCAGATAACTAGTTGATTATTTGCATAACCATGCCCTGAGATGAACTCCTTGTATGTAGTTGACCACTGAAGTGCACACACCTGTAAAGAATCCTTTAGTGTAAAAACTGACAATAGATTCAAGGAGAAAGTAACGAAAGTGACACTGCACAATTTCTCTGGATAGCCTAGGCTAAGGTGGCTTATACAAATCACAGAGGGATTTAAAAAGAGATAGAAATTAGGAACTAAGAAGATGAAAAAAATGTGTGGCCACAGATATATTGTCATCTTAGTTCTTAACGGTTCTATTGTCACATTTTTTGGAATACAGAAACCAAGGATAAAGCTATCCCTGCAACAGGCCATGAAGGCCCATAGGGTTGTGAGACGTTGAGGGTCCCACACTATGTAGACAATCGACTCAAAGATGGCAGTAAGGTTGTCAGCCTTACACGCCTTAATTCCTGGTACTCATTTCTGTTAGAGGCTGAGTGAACCCCAGGGCTATAGTGCGGCCGGAAGGACTAGGTCAATTGAAAAATCCAATAACCTCATTGGTATTTGAACCCGCGACCTTCCGACTTGTAGCATAGTGCCTTAACCACTATGCTACGGTGTGCACCCACAGAAAACATCTGTTTCCTATCTTTATATCATGATAAGATTAACTTCCTATAATATTTTAACACTGCACCAACCATGGCAGTTGTGGCAGATAAACATCTTACAGTCATGGCAGTCTTAGAGTTAAAAATGCAGTAGACAGGACTTACCTGGGATTTGGTGTCAATGACATTAAAACAAGAACCGGTATTGCAGTTCCAAAAGCGAATACACCTGTCAGCTGTGCCACCACCACTTGCCAAAATGTTAGGCTGCCATGGGCACCATGCCAATGCCTTCACAGCTGCTTGATGTGAACTGCAAGCCAAACACTGGAAACTGTAATATATGATAGGGAAGGAAACATCCCTATATTGCAATGGAATGTCACCATTCTCATACTGTGTTTCACATTTCATAATGCAGGTATTTAAATTATTTTTCCAGCTTTGAGTAAGTGCTCTACTGGATCAACTCAAAACTGGTCTGGGACTGCTATCAGTCCCAAACATAACAGGGTTCAACTGATATGGGTGCTGGGTTATGAGCATATGGTTCGTAATGAAACTGCTGATGAACTGGCAAAATTGGGATCTGAATGTCTGCTCACAGGACTTGAACCAGCTTGTGGCATTTCAGCAGGAAGTGCCAAGAAGGCTGTCAGGGACTGGACAATAACCATAAAATATACTGGCAATCCTTAACAGGACTCAAACAGGCAAAAGGGTTGTGAGAAGTTGAGGTTCCCACATTTTCTAGACAACTGGCTCACAGATGGCGGTAAGGTTGTCAGCATTACACTCTGGCCACCCTTTACCCCCCCTCAGAAGATTCCTGGTACTCATTTCTGTTAGAGGCTGAGTGAACCCCAGGGCCATAGTGCGGCTGGAAGGATTAGGTAAATTTAAAAAATCCAACTCATTTGGAGTCAAACCCGTGACCTTTCAGCTTGTAGCATAGTGCTTCAACCAAATACGCGACCACGTTTCCCAAAATCATCAGTACTCAGCTAAATCATATTGTACATATGAATGTTTTCTATTAAGCTCTCATTGATGAAACAATCTACTGCAGCGCAGTAATAGTCTGTGCAAGTTGGACAGTTTCTTTGTTCAGAAATAGATTTTATGAGGAGCAGAAACTTAATATAAAGAAATACAGAAAGGGAGGGACAAAGGATGTATAGCTAAGGACACAATGCTAAAATCATGTGCAAATCCAATTCATATTCAGCAAGAGACAGGTATCTTATGGACTATAATTTTAATTAAATTAACCTGCAGGGAGCATAAACCTATATCTCTGTCTCAGAAGTAGGAAGCTGCATTTATCAACACATTTGGAATTACCTGAGGGCGTGTAAAGGTTGGGGTTCTGAATAGGCTTGTCCTGCAACAGCAGACCAAATGTACAGCATATTGTCATTGCCACCACTAGCTAGGTATCTGCCATCTGGGGACCATTTCAGTCCACAAACCTGAAAAGAATAAAAATTATACATAACTAAACAAAATACAAGCTTTAACAGAAATTACACACAAATGTGGGAAATTACATGTCCATCTAAATCTAAAATCAGAGATGAAAGAGAAAGACTTCTAACAGTTGAGATTCTACAGCTCCCCCTGCTCACATCATATCTTTGCAGCTGCCTGGGCAGAACTGTCAACTCAACTACAGCATCATCTCTTCTCAGCCTCCCTTGAAGGGCTCAACTGAACTGGTTGCCCCATTTCTCCTCTTGCCCGGGTAACTGTTGCCACAGCAAAGTGTTTACTGAGCAGTAACTCTATTGCTGTAGAGGCATGTTTATTGTGCTGTTGCATAGCAACAGCTGCCATCCGATTGTTTGCTTCAAGGTCCCTGCCCAGCAATGGGTCTCTATGCCACAATACTTTCAAAAAGCAATTGTTATGCAAATTATAAAATATCCGAAATAATACGATATTGCATTAAATTTTAATTATCTTTTTGAGTTCATAATGATAGATGATGAAAGAATATAGATGTGAATTTGTATTTTATAATTATAACTGATGAGGCATTGCAGATGTGAATCTGTGATTTCATATGATGAGACAATATAACTGTGTATACACATTTCTACAAAATGTATTTTTACTTATGAAGTTCCATAAGTGAAGAGTGTGAACTTGTTTGTGTTATATTGCCTGGTTTACATGAACCTATGAGTTGAGGCCATCTCTTCTGCTGGGCACCACTAATGTCTGCAACCACAGCTGCCTACACCCGAAAAATTGTTGACGGTGTATAATACATGGAACAAATAATGACATGCACATAATGTTTTAAATATTAATGGTAACAATTGCAGGTAAATGTTAAAGACTGTAAAACCAATTGATACTAAATTAAAGATTTTAAATTATGATTAGCTAGAAAACCGATTATTAAATACTGTACAAGATTTGAGGTTCTCACGGTGGGTGTGGAAAGACTTTTCTACTCAGAAGATGGAGGCAGCAGGTGCCTCAAAAGTACTGGTACTTATCTCTCAAACTTGACAGCATCACATTCAATCAGGTTATAATCATCAGTGTGTATTGTGGTGAATATTCTCTCACCTCTTGTGTATGACAAGACAACTCAGCCACACAGTGATCTCTTTGCCGAACATCATGATGAATGATCTGACCACTACGAGAACCACTGCTCAAAATGTAGGAGTTCCACGAAAGGGAACTAACACGTGCTGAGTGACCTCCCATGGCACGTATTTGTCTCAGACTGCTGCAGTCCCACAACTTTGAAAAAGAGAGAATTTTGTTAATGACCCCAAGTACACTAACAGTACAAAACAATATGGATTATAAATGTTAGTAAACATTTCAATATAATAGATACTAATATGGCAATTTCATGAAAAGGGCAGCAGAGAAAGGGATTTATGAGGCACTAAATATGTGCAACTTCTGTATTATTAATCTTGTTGTTTGGTGGTGGTGTCAGCGGCAGCAGTAGTGGTGAGGGCAGAAACAGCGGTGGCTTGCATATTACTACTGGTAAAGGTAAAAGGTAAAGCTCAGGCCGGGAAGACCCATAGGATTGTGAGATGTCTAGGCTCCCACAATTTCTTTAGACAGGCATGTCCAACTTCAAACAGGTTGTGATCGACTTTTTAGTGTCAAAACTGCCAGTGATGTACCACCCCCTCCTATCGTCGTACCTCGCTTTAAGCAAAAATATTGGTAACAATAAACGACACATGATGTTTGTTGTAAAAGCAACTAGTAACTGGGCTGTGTCTCTGATGTCTGCAGATTCTTCCAGTTGGAGGGAGAAAGCAACACAATTGGAAACATCTTTCAGCAACTGTTCAGTTATGTTTCCACACATCATTTCTATTTGCCGCACAATTGTGTTTCTTGATAATTAAAGATCTTGAAGAGTAGCTATGATCTCTTTCTTATTTTATATTACAAGTGAATTTACATGCTTTTCACGTATAATTTCCTTATAGGCCTATGAGATCGACCAAAAATCGTCCTGTGATTGACCGGTGAATCGCAATCAACATGTTGGACATGCCTGCTTTAGACAACTGTCTTACAGATGGTGGTAAGGATGTCACCCTTATGCGCCAGCCACTCTTTACCCCTCAAGATTCCTGGTACTCATTTCTGTTAGAGACTGAGTTGACACCAGGGCCAGAGGGCAGCACAGAAGGATTAAGTAAATTGAAAAAATCCTTATTGGGAATTTAACATGAGACCTTCTGGCTTGTAGTATAGTGCCTCAACCAACTATGCTACTGCATGTCCCCCAACTACTGATTTCATAAAACTGAAGAACTATTTTTTTGCTATAATAATATTGCTCATATTCATAGCTGAGAAAGAAGAGCACTTTGAAGAATATCCACATGAACTACTGACAGAAGATAAGAGCAAATATTTCCTTCATCCCTGGGCTCCGCTTCCTTAAATTGTTTGTTTTCAGCCAAAGTTTCTTCCTTAAGGAGCTTTATAACTTCACTATTCAAAGGTTTATTGTCAAGCGACCATGAAAGAGAATTACTGCAGAATATTCTCCACTTTTTAAGAAAACTTTTGGATCTGAAGCTTCAATTTCTTTCTCTAAAGTATGTATGTATGTATGTATGTATTTAATGACTATGTCAGAAACTCAGACTATATAATGCCACTCAATTTACATATGTGTTTTCTCAGCTCTAGAAATTGATGATTGACTTTTATATTAGTCTGAAGTAGGCAGACCCAGAGTGAACGAGGAGTGACAGGCAGGAAGCATAAAGCATACTCCTGCTGCTCAGTACTGTAAGTTCATATAGTACTACACAATGTCACTTATATGTTACCATGTTGAGATCATGTATAAGTGATTATAAGTCAAAGTCCTATTGTAAGATTTGAGGTTTTCACGGCGGTGAAAATCATCACATGTTTGGAATCGAGAAGAGTTACTACCATGGAAACGCTAGAACAGACCATTGTATAAGAAGTAACAATAGTGGTATTGTAATTCTAACAGTGAGCCGTTGCGTAGAGATGAGTCTCCGCGGTTACGACGAATACACGGAGAGTCCCCACAGCGACAACGCGATAACAGTGGGCCATTGCCTGGGGCAAATAAACGCGTTTTCTAGGAGACGAAAGGTAACGAATTGTTCGAGGCATTGCATGACAATGGAAGGTTCACTGCATAGCCACTGCCGAGGTTATAAAAGCCAAGCTTCGACAAGAGACAAGTTAGTCTTGGGATAGTCGCTGCTGAAGATAGTTGGAACCTAGTCTCCATACAATACAGACAGAAGACAGCAAGAAGACAGTCTTCAGAAGGCCGCCGCCAAAAGCAGTCTAGTATTGGCCGAGATATAGTGGAAGCAGTAATTGTGATACTGCAAGTGACAATAATTGTAAAGCGCGTGAGTGTATAAGTGAAGCATAATAAAGATTCGCTGAATCCGAGACCCACGTGAAGTTATTTGTCACGTGACATACCCAACATGTGACAATATGAAGAAAGCAGTCTTCTGGGATGTGGCACCGTGTGTCAGTTAACACAATATCTACACGGCACCACATCCCAGAAGACTGCTTTCTTCAAAGTCCTATTGTTTGCAACTATAAATATGTTAACAAATCACTGAAGTTATCGTCGTCATCCCTCATCACAATCACCAACATCATTAATATTATTTAGTTTTGGGAACAAAATTATTGCTTAAGTACAGAATCTGTCTACATGAAATTCATGTAATATAACTATGAAGTTTCACACCATTGTCATGTTTATAACTGCTGACCTATATAAACAGCATTTAATACTGTGGTGTGCCGCCTAGTGCCTGAATATTTGGAATCACCATTAGAAACAAACTGTTGGAGGCAGACACATATTCCTGCAGCAACGAATTGTTTGAAGCAGCATTTGCATAGCAGCAGGCGAAATTAACCTTCGACAAGGTTTTTCCTACTCAGTCCGAGCGTATGTTATAACATTCCTATATCGCAAGAGACCAACAGATTTTGTATCAAACTTTAGCAGAAGTGAGTTTGTATCCGACAAGGGATCAAGAACAGTTGAGCTCCAAGCAGAGCAGAAAACACTTCACCAAGAATAGTTGTGCAAGACTGTTGTAACAGGGAAGAGGAAACATCTGACGATGTTATAAGTTGAGAATAATTTAAGTGTGAGTATAAAAGTGACTGTCCAATAAATATTCATTCAAATCTGAGAACCCACACAATTTCTTGTCACACTGCCTAGCAAACATGCGACAATACATAATTTGTAATCTGTCTTCATTTAACACAAAATCTAATATTTCTAGCTCCAAAAGTCCATTAGTCATCACTGTCAAACTAAAATCTAAAGGAAAATTTGACATGATCACCATGTTGTTGTAAACACACACATGAGCATGCATACACGCACACACAGGCACATAAAATAACCCTTCAAATGTTCTACATTCTTTGATAATCTATTACCATACAAAATGTCACTATCCTATATTATATGGATCTAGGGACATTCCCACTTCATTTTATGTCTGCCATCTTGTTACCATTGATTGCAGGAAATTAAAAGGTTGGGGTGGCTCCTGAAGTCCTTGTAAAAATTAGTCAACTGGGTCAAAAGTTGCAAGGAAACACAGAAACACATGGTAATCTCACGAGCCCACAATTTTTTCATTACAGATAGTAAGCGAAAAATACTGTTATTTTCCTATATTTTAAATTCATTATACTACAAGGTTCACGTGGTTGATTCAAAACTGTACAACACTTTCACTCCACATCAGGAGCATTTCTAAAACTGGGGGAAAGCTGAGACTATGAAATGTCTTGGATGTAAGTGATTTTCAATAATAGGATTTTGGTCATAGTTTCCTGGACTCAGGGATGGGGAGAACAGTCAGCAGTCTAGTCACATAACAAACCTGTACGACTCCCATACTTGTTCCCACTGCCAGAGAGCTGCCTTCCTGTATCCAACTCACAGAACACACATAATCACTTCCTTCCAGAGTAAGCAACTGTTGGATTTTACCAGTGCCAGCATTCCAAAGGTACATATTGGCACCAAGAGCCACTGCCAGAATATTGTTAGGACTCCAGTCAATTAAGTTAAGATCTGGAAAAAAAAGGACCATTCATCTTTGTTTCTAGAAATAAAAAAAAAACATAAATTATGACAAAAATTTTAGAGCGACAGCAGTAAATTATAAAGAACAAACTAATAATTGCACACATGTGAAAATATATCCCTAGGGTGAATCAAAATACTTTTTGTTTTATACAGATGTATAGGCTTGGTTGCTCATTGGCCCATATAACATTAAAATATTTGATGAGTATGTATACTAGAAAGCCTGCCCATTCTTCTCCTGGCATCTAACATAAAAAGTAATGAATGAAGTTAAAAAATGTACATATAGTATAACAGTTCTGACATATTTGCTGTGTTACTGCCTCTAGATCTTCAATTCATGAACACTATTTTATAAATAGTGTACAACTGAAAATTTCAAACAAAACACTGATAAATGTATTTTAAGTGCACTTTTCCACTTCAGACACAACAGACATATCAGGGCTGATATCATGTGAACTATAAATACCCAAAAACTTTCTCAGCAACACAATTATATTTTAATTGAATATTTACAAGGTAAAACTATAAATTCAGGTGGGAGGAAGATTAATTTTTAATTATTTTTGAGAAAAAAGAGCTTTGGTAATCTCTGTGTTCAGCACACCACTATTGACTAACAATATTCGTGTTTGCTTGGAAAACCACCAGCAAATGTTGAATATAAAATTTAAGATATGTATGCGTAGCATATTGAGTCATTTTTAATTAAAAAAACAGCAAGATTTACAGAAAGAGTGTATTAGACGTGAAATATATGTTTGCTCTACTTCTTTTCAAACCACATTTTATTCCGATAAATTTTGCAAGTCACATTTGAGATATGCGCAGAAATTCCATGTAGGAATGCATGCAAATGTTCATTATTTTTGTTCATTTTAATTGAAATTGGAATGGTTTAAAATTCTGTATATAAACATTTCCCAATAACAGATTCATATTTATTCTTATAGCAGTTCTCAAGTTATTTAATGGGTAGAGACTGACATGTGAGGAGAATGTTTCAGGCATTCTGCAGGATTATTGACACACCAACAAATGCTTCAATCTTCTATAATAAATATAACATCTTAACTAACATGTGAGGGCAAGACAATATTATACCCTGACCTCCAGATAATTTTCAACAAGCACGAAGACCCCTTAAAACATTATGACACAATATTAATGGCTTAAAGAAATGCTGTAACTGCAAACAACAGACACTAAATTGTACTCATGTATTAAATTTATGTTCTAAAAATGAAGGGATGTTACATCATACACACTATCCATTTTTTTTATTGCTAGTGGGGTGGGACTAAGTCCCTTATACTGTGGCCACTTCTGGCCTATTGAACCAGCCCAAGATGATAGGTGAGGGTGATTGTGGAGCAATTGGTGGAATGAAGATTGGCAGGGGAAATGGAAGTACTTGGAGAAAACCTGCCCCAGCGCCACTTTGTCCACCACAAATCCCACTTGACCAGACCCGGGATCAAACTGGGCCTCCGCAGTGGGAAGCCAGCGAGTAACCACTTGAGCTATGGTGCGGCCCACGAAGGGATGTTACATCACATACTATTTACTATTTACTACCATGATACTGTGTGGTGACCACACAGTTGACTGGCAACTACACTAAAGGAGAAAATTGAAAATAACTTTGGTCAAAAAATTTGGAAGTAAACAACCCCAAAATACTCAAACAACAATATGACTGGTATACAATGAGATAGCAATAATTCTAACCACAATGCTAAGTACATTTTTCTTCATAATTTGCTGTGTACTACAAATATCTGTTGGCAAAACTTGATAAGTGTTTTATTAAAATATTGCACGGTTCATTATAAATTACAAAATATAGATACTAACTTACAGTAGTCATCCATAATGTCAGGTGCATCAAGAATTCTGTCAGGGGTTTGGGGAATATACCGAGAAATACGCTTCACTGATGCTGGTGCCTTGGAGTGGCTGTACACAACTTTCAAAGGATTCAAAAATCCCTGCAATTGGATATATACAGTAAAACAGTTTATAGTAAAGTAGCATGAAACAAAAATATACCAACCAGAACTTGACATCAAAACTGTTTCAAAAGTTTGTCAAATTCATTATGGAAATTAGATAAACATTTAATATTCAAATCAGTGGAAACTGAGAATAAAATCACTTTAATTACAGGTTATTTATAACACTGTTACTTCTTGAACAAGAAGTTTCAGGAAGAAGTAATCGCCTACTTTCCTTTCACCACATACAGAGTATTACATACAACATGGGCTGCACAGAAAACACTGTGTCCAATAGTTCTTCTGTTATTGCATTGTATTCATTACTGCAGGAACATGTTTACCGAGCTGTTACCTACCAATGGCTCATTCTTCTGGCTCCACTATTCCAACTTACAGGCATTAGTGGGGTACACATAGACAGTGAGGTGATCTCATAAGTCTCCTTTTAGTTTTCAAAATAAGGAAAGTAGGCTAACTACTCTATAATCCCCAGGCATGCTTTGCGTTCTTACTGTCTGTACCAGTCTCTCATATTATGACCAATTACTGTAATATGTATATCAAAAAATTATTGACAATCACTGTAATAAGGTGTTCCTATTGATCTGTATGTCAATAAAACAATAAACTTACATCAGGTGCTCCTGGTGCTTTGTTCCTATAGGAGAGAATTCTCATGTTTTTAATATCTCCTCCATGAAGATTCTCTGACATGATGCGCTCAATTTCTTTCTGTGTAGGGCTTTTTAATTCATCATCTGGTGGCTGTTCTTGGTTTACCTGATAAGCAATCACATTAATGACACACACACACACACACACACACACACACATATATATATATATATACACAGGGAGATCAAAAAGTCGCGCACATCAAACTAAAAGTTGTTATAAATTGTACTGCAGTTAATATAATTATATCTCCTACCACTAGATGGTACTGTAGGAGTACTAATGAGTAGAAACGACATCTGTCGTGTATTGGATATATGATGCCTGCAGTATAACTTTGTTTATTGCGTGACAGACATGTTGCTTTCCCAAGAACGAGTTTTCATTGTGGAACATTATTTTGCCAGTCATTCTTATGCACGTGTCGCACATGAGTTTCATTGGGAATATCCAGATTCTGCAGTTCCTGACAATTTGACTATAACGAGAATAATCAACCGAATTCAGGAATGTGGATCAGTTTCAGATAGGAAGAGATCCGGGAGACCGGCCATTTTGACTGAGGCTAAACTGGCTGACATGGAGAAAATGTTGCAGCATTCCCCTTCAAAAAGCCTGAGGAGACTGTCAGCGCAATCAGGGATTTTGTACGGAAGTGCTCAGAAAGCGATGTAGAAGTTACACCTTCATGCATATCATGTTCGCTGAGTGCAGGAACTGAAGGACCTGGATAAAGAAAAACGCTTAGTATACTGTAGATGGTTTCGGACATTTGTTGGCAACCATGAAATTGATCGGGTTTTCTTCACTGACGAAGCGGGGTTTCACATTAGCGGCTATGTGAACAGTCAAAACAATAGGATTTGGTCATCTGAAAATCCACGTGTGTTACATGAAAAGCCCTTGCACTGTCAGAAATTTTGAGTGTGGTGTGCTGTGTCACATTGTTGAATAGTGGGCCCAATTTTCTTTGAAACAACAGTGAACAGTCAAGTGTACCAAGACATCATTACACAGTTTATTGCGCTTCTTGAAGTTGATGAACGTGAGTGTTAGTTGTAGCAAGACGGTGCCACATGTGACACATCTAATAAAACCATGCAGTTATTGTGTGAGTTTTTCAGTGACCGTCTCATTTCAAAAGGATTGTAGCCCCCGTGTTCGCCCAATTTGTCACCTGCAGATTTTTCCCTTTGGGGGCACATCAAAAGAATTGTCTGTAAAAACAATCTGCATACACTGGATGACCTCAAGAGGAACATTATGATGGCAATTAACAGCATCACTTTACAGGTGCTCCACAAAGCAGCCTCAAACATGGTAAAAAGAGCTCGCACATGCATTGCTGAACAGGGAAGCCATTTTGAGCATATGTTTAAAAACATGATTTGATTTTGCATTTCCAAGATGTAAGGTTATAAACATTAATAGTAAGTGCTGTATGTCTTGTAGTTTGTGCATTAAACCAGCAAAATATAATTGCTTAATGTGATGTGTGCGACTTCTCGATCTCCCTCTATACGGTCTATTTAAATTATATTACAATGTAAGCTATCATATTTAAACTTTACAGGTTAAGCAGAGCTAATTTTGTACCCCAAACCTCATTTTCCCATTATTCTGACAAACTGGTATACCAAGGATAACAGTAACTAACTTGTGTAGATAAATATTCAATGGCTTCTCATTTGCTGGCAAAAATAATTCAATTAGAGCTATGAGGAGCGTTCTGTATATAATGTCTCCTATTTTTTTATGAAAACTACAACAGATACAGAAAGCATAATACCACAGTTAAATAGAGAAAGATTTCAGCTACCTACACTTATTTTTCCACCTGATCACCACCATTCATTATGCACTTCTGCCAGCGATGAACAAGAGCCCATATGAGAGCATCGTGGTCTGGAAAATGTTGCCCACATAGTCCATCTTTCATAGGCCCAAAGAGATGGAAGTCTGAAGGTGCTAAATTGGGGCTGTAAGGTGGTTGGGGTGGGACAGCCCAGCCAAACTTTGCAATGTGCATGGTGGTTGCCAAATTGGTATGGGGTCTAGTGTTATCGTGTTGCAAGCGAAAGGTTGTCTGCTTCTCTGGCCTGACTCGGGAAATACGGGCTTTCAGCTTAGTCAGCATCGTCTTGTAGTGTTCAGAATTGACAGTCTCACCAGGCTCCAGGAAATTCAACAAAATCACACACTGCCTACCCCAAAAGACCATGCACATCTCTTTCCTTCCCGATGGCTGTCTTGAACTTCTGTTTTCTTGGGGAATCCGGATGTCGCCACTCCATGGACTGTCTTTTGGATTCCGGCTCGTAGTGGTGACACCACATCTCATCTCCAGTGACAATGCTGTCCAGAAACTTGTCACCTTTGGCCTCAAACTGGTGCAACAGGTCCTGACAGACTTCCATTCAGTGTTTTGTGGTCCCGTGTAAGCATCCACGGGACCCACCTGGAACAAACTTTGTGATAATCCAGCTTCCCCAAGATCATTTCCAATGCATTACAGCTGATATTAAGCCGTGCACATAGTTCCCTGGTCGTTAGCCGCCGATCTGTACAGATGAGCTGATCGAGGCACTGTTCACTGTGAGGAGTGGCAGCTGAGCAGGGACACCCAGGCATGGTTTGTCATGCACTTCACTTTTGCCACTGTTGAAATGCACTATCCACCTCCTCACTGTGCTGATATCCATTGTATCATCTCTGTGCACCTTTAGCAAGCGTTGATGGGTGTCAATGGGTGCAATTTGTTTGGCAGTGAGAAATTCAATAACACATCTGTTTCGTACGCAATTCTACGTCAGACGCCATTTTGGTAGACTGCTCTGCGGTCGCTATCTGTCACACGATAACGAAACTAACAGGACATTGGCAGGCAGGTTCAACCTTTACTACAACACCACCAACATCCAGCTCAGACGTTACAGGTTAACACAAAAAATAGGAGGCATTATATATATGGAGCGCCCTTCATATCAAATAATAAAGGATGCCACAGGAAATCATCCTCTACAAATTATTATATAATATGGTCATATAATCATAACATACTGATACAAATCTGCTTCTGTACATAAGCACCACAGAGATTTATGTTTAGTTCATAAGTTATAAATGGTTGTCATTTTGCCATACAACTTCTGAAAGACAAAGGTTTATGTCTATAACCATGCCTCATCATGTGTCCTCTGCAATCTCCCAGCACAGTTGGATGACAATGATCTTGAGCTTCATCAGTAAGTCTTCTTTTAAAAGTTTTGCCGTTATGAATCTCCAAAGAAAGGAGTAGCAGTTATTAATGTCAGGGATGACAATCAGGATACCAACCAGAAACTACAGTGAATCAAAGGTGTCAGGAGCAAGTCAAAGATAATGTTCGTTCTGTATCAGGTAGCCGCCTTCTGTACAAAGTACTGTGTACTTATCAGTTATGTGTTGAAACATAAAACTGTTATACAACATGCTCTGGCACAGATCAGTGTTCATAGTTTTGTCAAAAAAGACTGATTTGTCCATCACTTGATATGACAGCCTACATTATGATCTTGTCTGTACAATGGACCTGCCTGATGAACATGCATGGATTTTCTGTAGCCCAGAAATGCACATTGTGTTTGTTCAATACTCCATCCATATTGAAATATGCCTCATCCGAAAACCAGACATTTGCAGTATGGTTCCTTCATGCTCAGTATATGGAGTGAAGTCCAGTCTCTGCTGTTCATCATTGTGTATTTTGTATGAGAACATATGCAAATCTAACCACACAATTTGCTGGATGGAATGTCTGGGTATTCTGACACAACCTCCCTTGTTGATTTTCCCAGGATTTGTTACAGTGCATGTTAAACTGCATCTGTGTTCTGGGCCGTACACCAATTTATGGTGTGTGGATGCTTTCACTCCAAAACTGAGCTGCGTTGTTGAAACAGTGAAGCCTATGGATAGTCTTCCTCAGAAAGGGCCCAACCATGTACCAAATGAGCATGAAGACAACTGTATTGTATCAAGAGTCTACATTGTGGTATGCATGGGAGTGTGTGCTATGGTTAGACTCCCTTTGTCAGCCATCAGTATCCTAATGAAATTTTACAAAGTATTACATTCACTTGCAAAATTCAAACTTCATCTGAATCAAACTTGTTTCGCAGTTAAAGAAACTGGAGGATCATTCATGTGACACCCTGTACTTTGAAAATTAGATATGTATACATTCTACCCCATCTGTCCTATCATGGACAAGGAGATAAGTAACTGAGAAAATACAAAATCTTGTCTTGCCCTCATGCCTACAGACCTCATATTTAAGACCCTGACAATTAATGTAATACTAGAGAGAGAAAGTTAGCTTTGTGGCAACTGAACAAACGCATGCAATATGTCTATGAAACTGTCAGGAAGGCTTCAGGCCTGAACTCTGTATTGCAAGTAATGAACAGGGAGCAACATTTTGAGACATAAACCTTTTCATGTTATAGTCAAAGATGAAATCTGGTGGCACACATAAAAAAAGTAAGTAAAGCTATCCTTGTAACAGGCCATGAAGGCCCATCGCGTTGTGAGACATTGAGGGTCCCACATTATCTAGACAACCGGCTCAAAAGACGGCTGTAAGGTTGTCAGCCTTATGCGCCGGCCGCACTTTACTCCCCAGGAAAATTATTTATTCAATTCCTCAGGTAAAAAGCCTATTCTACTCTGTTGGACCCAGTCGATAGAGCTAGTCCGTCTTTGCAGATAGACTTTTTACTTGAGGAAGGAGACAGAGTCTTTGAAACATCACATTAAATAAAAATTAGGATGGATAATGCTCAAGAAATCAATCATTGTATTAATATACCATTGCCACAAACTTTTAAATTTTGATTACATCATATGAATATGCATAAATTCTTTCAATATCTCTGGTAAGTCACACACTGTTCACTGACTGGAGAGCTCCCCTACCATATCAGAGCAGAAGCAGCTGTCAGCCTGTTGGAGCTAAGTCAGGAACGATTTCTCTAAAGTGAGTTAGCTCTCACCTTTGTGTAAGAAATACAGATGCAAAAACTGATTATGTATGCTTCTTGTATGGCAAATGGATTTACAAGAAGCATTTGAAAAAAAACAGTCCTTATCAGTTATTCAACCTGTTGTTAGGTAGACAACATCTGAATAAACATTACTTGAAGTCACAACTTCCATATATCGTGGATTCCAGATAAATGAACAAAGGTATGTTACCTCACATACAAGACTGCAATATTAAGCCAAAAATGGGCACTTGTTAAAAAGTAGATGGTACATATTACAAGTTATCACATAAACAATTTTCTGAAAAATTGTTTGTTGCAATGTTGACTTTCATAGGATAGGAAAAGAAATGAATGTTCAGTGCAAATAAATGTAATACACATCTATTCATCAAGAGTCCCTGACATTAGGGCATGGACGAACAACTGACCTTTCAGTAAGATCTTTAATGCTGTATGCATTGCTCCAAGAAAACTGCCTAAAAACTATAGAAAAATCAGCAGAATACAACTGGTTCAGTAATTTAGCACACATACAAAAATGAAGCACTAAAATACATTCCCAAAATATCTCTTTTTAACCAGATATAATATCCTCAGACACTTCAAATTGTATGTTTTATGCATGCCAATGTAACATTACCAAATAATGCCCAAGTTCAAAATTTGTTGAACTTCTATCAGGAATGAATCGATCACCACCATTTGGAGTCTTTGATAGTGCTGCTGAGGTGGAACAGGAGCCTGTTTAAATAGAAAAAATGGCAACAAGTGAAGAATGTCCAGAATTATACAGCAATAAAGGAAATTTTAATTGTTTCTTGCATCCTGTTGTGTATTTAATCGCTATTAGAATCAATTTTACCGACCACACAACATATTTTTATTATTATTACACTACACGTTCGACCTCAAGAGGTCATCCTCAGGTGTACGAACACAGCTGTATAATTACATGCAATCACATTCGTCTTCTCACTTATTCGATCCTGAATCTAATTCAGGCTCATGCTCAATAATATATCAAGCTCTCTCATAAAACACACTCATAAAACACAAGTTAAAATTGTTCTAAATGTCAAAAGTTAAAATTTAAATTTAAAAATTTAAAGTTTGTGAATCGAATTTCAATTCAGATCACTAGTTATGCTTTCACTTTCATTTGTATTCAGTCACTTCCTACTTACGTTCATCACTGCGTCAAGTTCACTTTAACTAGTTTAATTATATTATTGATTAAATGTTCATGAATTAAAGTTCAATTATATTATATATTGCACTTTTTCACTTTTGGAGGCCTTGCTGTTCTACTGAGTCTTCTGAAGTTGTGAATCTGTTACAGTCCATGTTGTGAGGATGACCTCTTGAGGTCGAAACATGTAGTGTAATAATAATAAAAATATGTTGTGTGGTTGGTAAAATTGACTCTAATAGTGACTAAATGAAATGTTACAGTTTCATGTTTGAGGCTTGCTTTCATTTTTCAGTAATGAATCATACAGGAGTCATAATTTGTGGTATGAAAGAAACAGAACACAAAAACTGGCTTCGCAGTCATTTTGATGGTATGCGGATGAGGCAATTTATGAGTAGAGGGATCGGGAGGTCCCATCCTGGGTATTGCATCGAAAACATGAATCCAGACTCAACCTTCTATTTGTATGATGAAATGTTGTTAGTCAAATATGCAGTATATGCTTATATTGGAAAAAAAAATTGTATACACACGATTGAAAATTTGAGCATAAAATAATGAATATATATGATACACATTTTAAAAAGAAAATATGCAGCATAAATGGAGATCTTTGAAAATATTATGCTTCTTCATGGCAAAATATGCATTTTTATGCGCCATCAAACCATGTCTAAAATTTAAGAAATTAAGTAATTCATACATATATTCAAATGAGCATGCTTTTTGGTTGCAAGAAAGAAATATGCATCTGCGTTGAAATCCGGTACCGAGATATTATACATACTTTCTGATACATGATTGACTTTGATTGTGTTACATTAGAAATGTGATGTAGCACTGCTCGGTAGACCACTGTTGGAAGCCGAGGACTGAGCCCTCCCAATCTCAGCAATGCACAGAAAAAAGAAAGTTTACCATAGCTACAGTTAATTTAGATTCAGAAAACAAGCTTCTAGTCATAAGAAATCATGTGAAATTAAGAACATATATACTTACTTGGTGATTTCTTAGGTGTTTTTCCAGGCGTTTTCTTTGTTCTAACAGATTCCCCTGTGACACTGCATTTGCTTGGAGTCTTTGATGTGCTTGCACTGAATGATGTAGATGCCTTTGTCTTGGATACATTCAGGCTCGTATTGCTAAGTTAAAAAAATAGCGTCATTATTAATGTTTCACAAAAAAGTCATGAAATCATGTGCTCTCTTAACACTTTGCGGACCGCACGCCCTTTAAAAGGTTTTTCGCTTTTAAACGTTGCGGACCAGTGGCATATTATTATGACTTTAGGACACGTTATGTTGAAACACACTATACCTTGCTCTGGCGCCACGCAACTGCAATGAATACTGCGTAATAAATCTTCGGAATGTATGCTAGGTATTCAGTAACTTGACCTGGCTTGCTAGGGTCCCTACTCCAAAAGAAAATAAACTTTGCCCCTTCCAGCTGTTTATGTACCAGGCAGAAATTAGTAGAGGGGAATATGTATCAAGGACAAAAGGGGTTGAAGGCAAGCGAGCTCTGGACTTGTTTATGGAGCTATCTGACGTGCCTTGTAGAGGAGTAGTGATTAGTGACTCAGACAGTGGAAGTGACAGGGATCAACAAAGAATTGTGGCCACAGATAATAAAAGTGAAAGTTGCCTTGTGGCTTATAAATTGTGCCATTTTCAATTCATTTTTGGTTTACAAAAATCTAAACCCTGATTCTAAATTGAAATACAAAGCATTTCTGATGAATGTGGCAAAGGCCAGGGCTACAGTGCAGATGGTGGCGGCAGAACCAGGGTCACACGAAGACTTAGTGTGACCTAGCCCATCAANCCCCCAGGCCTCATGTGGACACCCCTGGGCAACTTTCAGGTGATATGCAGAAACATACCCTCGTGAAAATTGTGAAGAGTGAACATTCCAAGGGGAAGCATCCTTCTAGGCAATGCCGTGTTTGCGCAGTTCACAAAAAAGGACTATGACTGTCTACATTTGAAAGTGTATAATGCCACTTCAAAAAGGGGAATGTTTCCAGGAATATCACACTTTCAAGCACTTCTAGGAGCATTGGTAAGTGTTCTCAAAAAATTATAGTTCATAAAATTAATTCGGAGATTTTATATTAATTTTTAAAGAGAACAGTGCACAATTTAGGGTATTAGGTATAAAAATGCAGGTCCCCGGGGTGATTTAAATATTTAAATCGCCAGTCCGCAAAGTGTTAAGAATTATGCACTGAATAAATTATGAAAATTAAATTTGTTCTGTACTGAAGTCAGAATTGATACAGATATGTGTGCGCGTGTGTGGTTAGTGATTTATTCTTGCTACTCTTATTCCAATATGTTAAATTACATGTTATAATTGCTTAAGTTATGAATAAAAAATTAAATATATGACACTGAAAAGAAAAGCATTTTAACTACATGGAATTAAGTCCTTCTTAAGAAACCCAGCCAGTCAAGACACTCTCTGCCTATTATGGAATCTGATGGTCCATTAGTGTTCACGAGAACCCCCATGTGGTCCATATCCTGAGCCAGATTATTACAGTCCACATCCTCCCACCGTACTTCTTCGACATTCATTCTGAATGAAATAGGATTTGTTTTAAAAACTTCATTTAATCCATATAGTATAGTGCAACTGATCAAAGTGAATCATTTCCATAAATCAAGCAAGATACTATGTTCCTTTGGAAAAAATAATGAAATAAAGCTTCCAGTCAGCATTGTGTGTACAATAAGCATACAAATCACCTATCTGTACATGAAGAACATGGCATCAGCCAAATGTATGCTAAATTTTACTTAGCTTAATATACAATATTTTATCATAAAAATGAAATGGTATGACAGATTATTCCAACAATAACGCTCCTAATGCTCACAAAGGTCTTCTTTTACAATATAAATCTGGTCATTCAATGTAAGAAAAACTGGACAAATTAATGAAAATACGAGGGTAAGTTAATAAGTTACAAATGGATATAGAACTTAAACAAATAAGAGTACTGATTTGAAAAATGCTTTCATTTCTCAACATAATCTCCCTGTACCTTGAGGCACTTGTCCCATTGTTTCACAAGCCCATGAAAACCAGCAGCATAAAATTCTTTGGGCTGCTGTCGGAGCCAGGTGTGTTCACACGGCATGGCCTACCTCATAACTAGGGCCCGGATTTTTTTAAAATGCATATGCGCATATGCAAAGGCATATTTTGAGGGCTTTTGGTCGTTATTGCATATTCTAAACGTAAGAGCATATTTCTGCATATATGTTAGAAATTAAGGATAATTAAGGATGAGAAAACCAATTTATGTGGCCGATGTATAGCAAATTTCGTAGTTGTTAAGCTACATCTAGACGAACCCAGCAAACCTCATCTTCTTGCTTGCAAAGTACTAGAGAAAACCAACCATAGCACAATAGCAAGATTTGTAAATGATTCTCTGCGACTACTATGGCCGTCTGAAATTGAGAATAATTGTTGTAAGGTGCTTGTATTACTCACAGATGGAGCTTCCTATATGTTGAAAGCAGCAATAGTCTTACAAGTATTTTATCCAAATCTTATACACGTAACCTGTTTAGCGCACGGATTACGCCGTATTGCAGAAGAAATACGCACATAGTATCTAGCTGTTAACAATTTAATTGCAAGTGGAAAAAAACCATTTCTGAAAGCACCAGCTCGTGTCCAGTTCTACAAAGATTGCCTACCTCAGGTTCCTCTGCCACCTGAACCTGTGCTAACTAGGTGGGGGACATGGTTATCAGGAGTTTCATTTTATCAGGAGAATTTCAATCAAGTAAAAGAAGTAGTTACAAAACTTGAAGATGAGAATGCATGTGTCCGCAACTGTGGTGTTTGGAAGTGATGCTGTTTATCAAGATGTGAATTTTATCCATGCAAATTTTTCTGCAGTTTCAAAAGCCATTGAGAGCTTAGAATCTTGTGGTGCACTCCTTTACGACTCACTTGAACTCGGTTCAGAAAGCAATTTGTTCACTGAATTTTGCACTAGGCGAAATTGGAGACAAGATTAAATGCAAGTTAGAAATGGTGTTGAATTCGAACTCAGGACTAATAAAGATTCAGTCAATTAGTCAGTACTTGAGTGGAATTAGGGTATCTTTGCCAGATGAATGTTCCGAACCTTCGGCGCCAGTGTATAAATACTGTCCAATCACGTCAGTTGATGTAGAAAGATCATTCTCAGCCTATAAACTCATTTTGACGGACAATAGACGCAGTTCGTCTCCAGAAAACACTGAAAGACTTCCAGTTGCCTATTGTGATGCTACTTTCTGCAGTGTATGATACATGTAACATGGAAGGAGAATGCAACAGTAATCTCAGCTGATAATCAGGGAATAGCTAGTGTACTGTCACAAACCATTCCTCCTAGAAGACGTCGGAAGATCCCAGATACGAGAAGTGAGGATTTTTTATAGGAATAACTCAAAATGGAAACAACAGTCAGCAGAATTCTCTAGTCATATATCATCAAAATATAAGAAGCATTAGCAGTGCTTGAGGTGGAATGAAAATAGAACCGGGATGGTTTTCCCATTTTAATTCATAGACATAAATTATGAAAATATACCGAGTGATGTATATAGTCTGTGTTCCATCTAAGACCTACGAACATATTACAGTAGTTTAAATGGCATGCATTAAAATAAAGTCACACATGCATTACGAGTACTTATCTTTAGAATATTTTCCAGATGTTTTCATTGCTTTCTGAAGTCACTGATCTTCTATCTGCGGGGGCTGCACAAGACTGGTAATCTGCATGTCGACGTCCTTTCTTTAGCCATTGTTTTACATAATATTCTGCATCAAAAGCACTAAGAGGGGGTCCCACTGATGAAATAAACATTAAACTAGATGCTGTTTTT